AATGCTATTTTGCCAAGTTCCTCCCATTTCCTTTGTGCATTTTTTCTTGCGTAGAGAAAAGTGAAAGAAAAACTTGAAACCCTATAAGAATCAATGACATGACAAAGGAATTGAACCTTGTGAGCGAATTCGTTTACAGAAAGAAATATAACCCGAATCAAAAGAGACCCGTGGCAAATCAAGGAGCTACATCCGCCGTAAACACTATAAAGCTTCGAACCTGGCCGTGATCTGTCACTTTTTCTTGAACGTCTACAATTTCAAGCATCCCAATTTACCTAAGTTAACTTATAACATTACACTACATCACACCATAATTATTAACAACATCATGTCTAAACTTACAACCACGAAGGGCCAGTCCCAGCAGACCCGAAACCGGGACGAGGTTGGCCTCAGCTTTACCAAACCCAACAATGAGACCCTGTGCGCAGTCATGTAAGACGTTGGGCTCATTCTTTTCTCTTAATGACGTAAAAGAGGAGGAGCCTGGTATCGTTAAGTTGAGTTGGATTCGTTGGAAATGGTAGAATGGACTCAAGACTAGCTACGCACCTATAGCATGCCTTCTATTATTCTCTCAATATAATCACTGTCTTTATTTTGTTACTGGCCTATGGGTTATTTTTTATGTTGCATTTTCTCGCATATCTGCATCAGTGAGTCGATGTTATTCAGTTCGACGTAGCATTTGTCCGTTTGCCCACTAACCTTCCAGGTCTTGACTACCTACCTAAACGTCACTTTATCGTAGGTACTCAAGTTACGTACTTACCTAAGTTCCATGTCGTCGATCTATGGAGGTGGGGAGTGAAACCTAATTCATCTAGTTCACATTGGGACCTGCCTTCTTAGATGACCTACCTAGGTAGCGTACATGTATCCATATGTACATACTTAGGGGGAAGGCGGGTCGGACATCGAGAAGGATGTTAAGACCGTTCTGCCAGAGGGGCTTAGAGAGTTAGAACTTACCCACCTTCAACATCAACAACGATCGTTATTTTATTGCATTGGTCATCTAGTTTTTCTCGTATCATGGCGGAAGTAAACGAGAATCGGAGCTTCGCGGCCAGTGACTTTCTAAACCATCCTTACCCAGACGCCGAGTCTAATGCCGCAATACTGCTACCTCATCTCAAGCCTACCGACAAGATTCTAGATTTCCGCTGCGGCTCGGGAATCATCGCGATTAGCTTAGCCTCACGAGTGCCGCATGGCGCCGTCGTCGGCATTGACTTCGCCCCAAACGTTATCTCAAAGGCAAGGGCTTCTCTTGTCGATCACTACAGGTGGAGAGCAACTTATCCACCAGGTCATCAACATCCACCCGAGGGCGCCATCATATTCCATCTCGTCGACTCTATAGTAAAATTACCATACGATGACAATACCTTTGATGTTGTCTATGCCTCAGACATGTTCATACAAATCGTAACAGAGACCTTGTCTGTGGAGGTGCTGAAGGAGATGATGCGTGTGCTGAAATTTGACGGATTTCTGTTCACGCGCGATATTGCGAAGCAGCATTTATTCCCAAGCAATTTGGGCTTCGGTACCCAGCTGACACAGAACCTACTCCGGTGTTTCTGTCGGTCAGACTAGGTGGGACGACAGATGCCTAGTCTCTGCAATAGAGCAGGATTCACATTGGTTGAGGGACGCCATGGCGCTACGTGCTTCTGGGGGCATGACAATATATCGAAATGGGTATGTGACATGATCAAGCACCTGAACGAGGGCGAGCCGTTGCGGGATTTCTGGACCCAAGCTGGTATCTCGAAGGAAAAAATCAAGGCATGCATCGAGAAGCTAGGACTCTAGGCCAGTTCTGATGACGCGGGTTATTGCTCAACGCATGTCGAAATTCTTGCTCAGAAGTGCGTCAACCATATAGAGCACAATGAATCATCGAATATCGCATACCGCGAGTACTGACCGTCAGTCTAGGCCATGGGAATCATATTATCTTCTAGATCACCCTCTATGAATTCTTACCCCCAACAATGGCAGCAAGATACAATCTCTTTCGACGACCTACATCATTTACGGCTTAGGAGCGTTGACCTCGGTATTCGGCTGCAATAGCAACCCCTTCAATTCAGCGGCAAGCTTCCGTATGCTTTCGGTCGGCTCTCCTCCCCAGGCCTTCAGCGTCTCCTCTCCTAGCCTTCCTCCACCTATCGCAGCATAGACATCCGGTTGCCCGGAGAAGGGTAGGGTTGGACGTGTCTCTGCAATTATAAGTCCTACACCGGTGAGTGCCCCCTTTACCTGGTCGTTTGCAGTAGTGCCACCCTTGACACCGTAGCTGACGATGGCGGCAGGTTTTCCTTTCCACTCGTTGACGAGGTAGTCGATGGCGTTCTTGGTGCCGCCCGCTACCCCATAGTTGTACTCGGGGATGACGAGGACGTAGCCATCGTGCTTAGCGATTTCAGCGCTCCATACTTTTGAGTGCTCGTATTGGAAGGAGGCTTTGTCAGGTACCACTACCGGTCTGTTAGATATGGTTCCCAATTTTCTTTTCAAGATTACGTTCTTTCTTAAAAGCGCACAAGTATATGGGTAGAATTAATAAAGAAATGTTTATTGGAAATGACGTACTTGCCGGAGCTACGTGTTCGTTGTAGACGGGGAGGTTGAACTTGACGAGATCAACACTCGCAATGGAAATTTCGTCTGCAGCCAAGGGCTTCTCAATGATGTTCTTGACGAATTCGGCTACAGCGGGCCCAACCCTGGTGCCGCGGGTGCTCATCGTGATGAGGGCAACTGATTTGGAAGCCATCTTGCGTTTTCTTTTTTCTTTTTTTGCCTTCTTGTCGTGAGCCGAAACCGTCGGTGGATGAGACAGATCGGTAGGAAGATGACCGTAAGAGTGTGATAACTTAGACCTTCGAGGTATCACTATTAGAATTCTAGCATCTGTTTAATAAGCAGCAAAAATAACTTGTGCCCACGGCGTGGAGGCATGGTCTCTTATATGCAGCCTGCAGCAAGACAGTGCACCAACACTCGCAGCTCGGATTTGTCAGGGCCGAGCGCGAACCAGACATTGGATTTGTAACGAGGCTGTCGCCGTGCCGTAAGCACAACGGAGGAGACGGGGGGAAACACGCCGGCGATTGCGACGACATTTCCCTCGAACCAAACCTGCGGGAGGCTTGGCAGGATCCAAAGATGATCGGACAAAGGAGAGATGCAATTTCCATTTTGTCCGGCACTCCGGAGACTTTTCCTCGAGTAACACAAGCAGGCAGATGGTTTCTTTCATCTTTCGTCCGTCTTTCGTCCGTGGCTGATGGGCGCCGGGGTTCTGATTGGACGGAGGGCCCGGGTTGGTGCTGAATCGAGCAATTGCAAGGGGGGCCGGGGAACCAGCACTTAGGTACCTACACGGGGGACGCATCGGATGTGGGGGAGTGGAACGTCATACCTATAGGAATTACTGTCCATGGATCTTGTAAGTCAGCATCTGCTGCAGCAGATTACGCGCTATTTACATGATTACTTGCCACTTCAGGATCCTATCTTCGAAGCTATTGTAGGCGATGGAATGATAGCTTGCATTGCTGACAGCTTACGGAAGAATACGATGCCTGATATACTAGTGCTGGCTTTCGTTCGCCTGGCCCCCTGCGGGTGCTGCGCATTAATTAGCAAAACGGGCAGCGACTAACGAAATACTTCTAAAGTGGTGAGCTTTTCATATAAAATTCATATATACTGGGCAATTCTTAAGCCCATTTAAACCCCATTTTTAAAAGGATTATAAAGCGTTGATTGGGTCGGATACTTTCGTTAGTCGTTGCCCGTTTTGCTAATTAATGCGCAGCACCCGCAGGGGGCCAGGCGAACGAAAGCCAGCACTAGTACCTACTTGCCAGGGGTTGGTTAGATTGAGCATGATCTGACTCGCCAGTTCGGCAGTTTTAATGCATTTCGTGTAACGAGACAGGTCATAATTCCATATCGGTCTATATCTCATGTTGATTAGTGACGAGTCTCCGGAATGCTTTTGTCTGTAAGAAGGCATATTTTCTTAACTTTTTCGATATCCAGTATAACATCGCAGACCGGTAAGAGCTAGCTAGCCCGAGGCCATACTAGGTACTAACATCACATCACTTTACCATTGTCCGCATGAATGTCGTTGGAGAAGCATGGGGAGGAAGAAGCAAAAGGGGCAAACAGAGAGGGGGGAATATATAAAAAGAATTGGCCGCCTAGGAAATCGAACCCTAGGGTCTAACGATACACATGGCGATACTTGTTAAACTGCACCAACTCGGCACTTAAATAGCTTGCTATATCTGCTTCAAAATTTGGCGTGTGTTTTGTTTATATCTGTCTCCTTTGCTTGCTGGGTTAGAGTGTGAGTGATTTGTTATCGTTTTTGCGTACGGGTTCCATCGTTTTGGTAGATGAGCCCTTTTCAGATTCTACTGGGGAGTGTCTCTATCTTAAACGTCGGCTTGTCGAGAGGAAAGTGACTGTTGCTCGAAGCAGATAAGAACATGGCCCTTGGTAGAGCTATAAGCTAATTTTATTAAAAACATAAAGGACTAATAGTATTCTGGATCAGTCTACCTACCAAAGCCATTGCTGACTTCCATATTATGAGTAAATTCGAAGTGATGATATAACAATAGTGGAGATTGAGAAATACTGGCACGTGCCCGTATTCAGAGTATAGTAGACCCACGATCGTGACATACTTGGGTAATTGAGAGCTTATTGATCAATATGATGTCCCCGTTATCCCTATTAGAATATCACTGGGTAATTTGAGTTCGTAGATCGAATCTAGCAACTTATATCTAGACAATAGAGGATTCGAACGAAACACTACATCGTCAATATCTAAAAGCTCTATTACGATTCCGCCGCATTGGTTAAGGGGCTGAGTTAGAAACACTCGACGTAGGGAGAAACGTTTTTGAGTAATGGATAGCAAACGAGGTGATCTGGACGCAACGAAAACTAAAATATAAAAATGCACCAGCCGTGAATTGAACGCGGGACCCATCGATGGAAACGATGTATTTTGCTATTAAACTACTGGTACCTCTGCGAAAGGGCTGGGGTTATTGGTAATTTATTTCACCATTTGCATATTTTAAGTCGTTGGTGTCTTTGGTAGAATTAAGTGTAACTACTACGATTTTGCTATGTTTTATTTGCCTTCCTCCCGTAATGAAAACAAAATCAATATGAAAAGAAAAGAAAACTGTGAAAATAACTAACAAAAAAGCTCGCTCCTCAGATTCGAGGGTGTATTGCATTTGATCTATTAGTGTTGCCAAGTTCTGTACATCTGTCGTTTAGTTTCACCGTTATGCAACGTTGTAGACACTCTTGATTTGGCGTAGGGTTCCTTAGAGGTGGAGGGCGATTTCTTACGGAGCATTTTAAAGTATAGAGGCCAAGGGACCTTGTGACCTCCCTACCTTACAATGTCACTATAGCACAAAGGGAACGCAAAGGCTAGGGTCGACTGCATACCTTGCGTAAGTTGCCGGATATGGGCTGTGTTGCAACTGTGGCTCACTCGAGTATTCCATAAGCTCCTGTCGCCTCTTTACCGATGAATGGAAATATGTTTAGATAATTATCAATTGAGTCTTTAATTCTCTACCTACCGCGTCTGGATGGGTACTAACGACGGCGATGAATCGAACTAAAGTAGAGGCAATTTGGCTGCGCACTAAGACATAGCCAACGAAGAGGAAACTCACTTGTAAAACCTGCGAAGTCGTGTCCATAAGGCCGGGAGACGCTCATCTCTCACTGGCCATCCATCCATCCATCCATCAAATCAAGTCGTGAACTTTTGGTATACCTAATCCCAATTGCCAAATCTAACCCAAATAGGTTGCCATGGCCTGCCGTCCCTCATCCGTCAACCTGTCCATGTAACTCGCAATTGCTCCATTGTGTCGAGCATTGGCTTCCGCCAAATACTGGCGCACCCAGACCGTGACATCCTGGATTTCGGGATAATCGTCACGAGCGGCCTTCTTGCACGTGTTGAGAGGAGTGAAACCTAGGCCGAAGCCGATGTCATCTACGTCTGCCTCGTTGACCAAGTCATCGCCCGCACCACTGGTGACCTTCGGGGCGTTCACTAGCATCTTGAGCATTGCTTCGCAGGTGAGTGCCCATCCCTTCTGGTAGCGTTGTGCGAAAGCGGCGCTGTCTCCCATCGACTTCGCGAAGGATACGACAGCAAGCTTGCGGTCAACGGGGCGAACAAGTAGCTCTGACACTGGGAGGACAATCTTGAGGTAAATCTGGACGTAAAGCTTGTCTTGGATCAAGTCTGTTTGGTTGGAGAAGAAATCAGCACCTAGTCCAGCCTCGACTTTGGCTGACACAAGGTGATAGAATCGTACGAATCGTAGCTTGAACGATTCAGACGGATTGCCCTGGAGTTTTGTGAAGAGAAGATTCAGAATCTCCTTGAAGTAGGGCTCGAGAGCGGACCTGGCAGAAAAAGAAGTAAGTTAAGTAGATCGGGACAATTGCACTGGTGGTTGGACAAACCTATTAATCGACAGAACGATTGACTCGAGTAGATCGAAGGCATTCTGCTCTGTCTTCTTGCCGCTAAGGAGGCTTTGGAAGATACCTAGTACTGGTTGGACCTGGTTTTCTGCCACGATAGTGGCGGATGCTCTAGGCACTATGGCAGCCAATAGTCTTGTAAGAGCGGGGACGTTTCCCCTCGTCTCCCAAAGCGTCGGCAGCATCAAGGGGGATACGAGAGCCTGGTAGTGATTGGGTAGTGCGCCAGACGGGTTGAGTTCCAGCAACTTCGCGAAGATCTGGAAAACATAAGGCATGAACTCTGAAACTCGCTTTATTAGCATCATATATTTCGTATGAAGAAGCGTCACACGTACCGTTCACTTCTTCCTGGATTATCAGGTTGAAAGGCTCCCATAGACGGCTCTCTAATTTCGATAAGTCGGCAGACGAGCCGAAGCTATGTTGGTTAGCAAGGATTCTTAAAAAGTTGATAAGTTGATAAGGGGTAAAACATACCTCACAACAGCGCCGAGGGCTTCGAAGTGGTAGTAGTAGAATCGTGGGTTGCTGGGGTTGGTTTTGATGATATTTGTAATTCCTACGAGATGGTCAAGAACCATATCGACGAATGCGATGACACCAGTGTTCATGACAATGAGAACACGCATGATGCAGCGCATGAGAAACTCGTTCTCTTGCATCTTTGCTGGGTTGTTCTCCTTCTCCACCAGCTTAAAGAGGTGGTCAAGAAGATCTTTGGCGAAAGGCTCAATGTCAGCTCTACCAAAAATGCGAGCACCGGACTCGTTGGTCAAGAACAGAAGTCTTTCAACACAGATGGCTGCGTAAGTATAGACAACGTAGTTGGACGAACCCATTTGCTGAAACAAGGGTTGAAACGCAGCCTGCCATTGTTCTTTGGTTAGCTGACTTCGGAAGGTGTATAGATACTTGATAGCGTCGACCTTGGAGATAGGTTCGACATCCGAGACTAGGTCGTTCGCAACATGTTGCTGGAAGAAGTCGACCACGTTGACCAGCGGGTTGACTGTTTTGACACCATGCGAGGCTGTCACACTACCCTTGGCTGCGATGGAAAGGAATAGCGAGATGGCAGTATCCTTGTCCTTCCAGTTCGTTTTGCCTTGCTCCAAGTAGTGGTTGATATACCTGCTGGCAACACTGGTGACCAATTGTTCGAATTTACCTTGCAGCTGTCTCAGGAAGTCAGTGGCGGCTCTTCGTCGAGAATCCGTATCCGACCCCTCAAGATCACGACGAATGTACTCGATAGGCTCGTCCTCGAACATTTCGATATCTGACTCTCTGAGCGCAACATTAGGTAGCACCACCTTCTCTACAACTTGACCTAGCACTTCTTCGTTATTGAAAGCAGCCGAGTGGGTGGTAGAGGCAGCAATTGCTGTCAAGAAATGCAGTGCTTTGCTGACGAGGTTGTCGTACTTGGTCTCTGGTCCGATTGCGGAGAGTAAGTTCCACGCACTGTTAATGAAAACCTGGGTGAAGCGGTTGAAATCATCGTCGTACTTGGTGACGTAGAGCTGCAAGACCTCGCAGATGTCGGCCTTGACGGTTTCGATCACACCAGCTTCAGAATCATCATCCGTTGCCAGTAGAGGGTTCTCGTAGGTTAGATACTTGTGAAACAGGGTTGAGATGTGTTCCAAGTTGGATTCGAATTGGGGTGGCATGTCCTGACAGGACAGATCGTAGAATACTTTGATCATCAGGCTTAGCGTATCAAAGTAACCCTTCAAGGCCACCTTGTCGTTGGCATGGGCTGTGATCTGCTGATCAGTAGCCTATACTACCATTAGCCTCGAGAGGCCTGGGAGAAAGCTGACAGAGAGGGGAGGGGGTTGCTTACACTCAACAGAGTAAGGAAAGGTATGGCAAAGGTGTTGAGTACGTGGATGATCTCTAGGTAGAGCTCGTCAGAGCGGAACAAGGGACGCCATCGGACGAAAATAGAATGTGCGACTTCCATCACTCCATTGTTGACTTTGGGATCATTAGGTGACAAGCGTGATACCAGGTCGGCGACAAGAGTATCCCATCGATCCCAGAAGTCCGAGTCGGCAATAACGCTGATGGCTTCTCCTAGCTGTGTCTGGATGGAGGGGGGGCAAGCAATCATGAGCCCAATAAGCTCTTGCTTTATGGTGTTCACTTCCTCGATGGGGATCTTGTAGTTTCGTTCTTCGTCCTGCACGATGCTAACGTCAGTATCCGACTTTTTCTACAACTTGAAACGGAACTGACGTACCACATAGTTGTGTCGGATGTAATTCTTGAAGCATAGTGCTCCAGAAAGGCGGATCTTGGGTTCGAGACTCTCGGTTGCGACAATCTTGAGTAGCTGCAGCGAAAACTGAGGCTTCTTCTCCTCAAGCTTAAGAGCAGCCTCGGCTATTATTCGCAAGAGGTCAGTTTCAATTTTAGATCCTCATGGGAATGAGAATGGGAATGGGAATGAGAATGGGAATGGGAATGGGAATGGCAACAGATAGTGTCACAAGGCAGGGCAGAAAAGGAAGCTCTCACGTACCGCTCTTGTGCTTGATGGGATCAAGTGTCGCATCCAACAGCTGCGCGATCTGATTTAGATCTGAAGCCATGATGGCTGGTGGTTGTTTTTGTTGTGAAAAGAATGAGTAAGATTCTAACACGGGTGGTGGTTAGAAAAAGTTGGTAGTAGGTAGAGAAAATTTGCAAAGTGTGTTGGCTTTGCTTCGTGGCTGAATGTGTGAGTGAATGTGAACAATCGTGAATAAAATAATTATTTTATTGACATTGCACCTGTTGACGGACGACGAGGCAACGGTAACGCTAATCAGCTACTAAAATAAAAAGTTAATGGACCGTGCGTCAAAGCTTGCCTGAGCTGGAAGGAGGGGAATAGTGGGGTAGGTTATGATATGCTTAAATCAGCTACTGTGGTGGGACCGATAAGGTGGATAAGGCTGATAAGCACGCACCCACAGTTTTTCTACCAGGTACATGTATGTACCTTCCCTACGGATGCGTTATGTAACTGAGGGTGTGAATTTAGAAGGTGAGAAGACTAGTACACCCCCAACTTTTGCATAATTTAAGCCCAGCTAAGACGTGATCAGGGGTACGGATTGGTTAGGACGGAGAAAAAGACGGAGCGGAAGCTGCATGAGAACCAAAAGGGCGACCATTGTGGAGAAATCTTTTGCCTTTTTGTGAACCTCCTTCACAGTCAACTGGTCCCAAGGTTCCCAAGGTTCCCCCAAGCGCAAGAATTTCTTCTACCTTATCCTAATGTAGTTCCATTCCAACTAATCGTATCGCATCTCTCCTGAAATCCGTCATTGAAAGAAAAGAAGAAAAAAATTAAATTCTGTGTCTCCCAATGTACTACCACGTTCCACGATCAAAACCATTTCGAAATCAATCCTCCCATAATCGTTTATTCCTACCACCGTCGCCAATATCGTTATCATTGCCATCGTCGTCATCGTCACTTGTGTGGTAGGGGTAGGGAAGAGA